CGGGAGGAGGGCCGGTCCGCGGAGGCGTCACCAAAGTCCTCTGGCCACACCCCAGGGAGCCACGCTGTCGCGTCACCAGGGTTCAAACCTGAAGGACAACTCCTGGCTGGGCGGGGGCTTGCTGGGTGGGCGGGGCGGGACGCGGGCGCCACTGGCCCGGTCTGAAAAAGGCGAGAGGCTCCCCTTTACCCGCTTGAGTCATCAGCGCGGGGGAAGGTTGCGGCGCAGCCACTAGAGCCATTCACCAGGGAGGAGGAAGACGCGGAGCTTTGGGTGTTAGTGGGACAGGGGCTCGGGTTGGGTCGGCGGCGGGCACCGGGCCCGGCACTTGGGGGAAGGGTGGTGTTTGCCGCTCGGTCCTCTGGCCTGCTGGGGAGACGGTAAACTCCATCGCTTTACTGGCGGACCTGGCCGAGCCTTCCTTGAATGGGTTAGCGCAGCAGGCCGGCAGGGGAGTTCCTGGACAGTTATCAAAAAAAGAGTTCGAGATTACCTAGGCATGCCAGGAATGTGTTTTGGGGCCTGAAGGACCCAGGAAAGCACTGAGTTACCTGCAGTAAAATATCCTGTCTTTATGCGTTGATATCCCCAAAGTCAAAGGGGAAGTGTTTCGAAGTGAAGTGTAGGCATTTGGGTGATGCCAGTCCAGAGGAAGCCATAGAGCCAGGGACCCCCACCCGGAGTGAAGCATGCTTTAATTTAATGTATAGTGTGTGTTCTGAGTTAAATTGCTTTCTACTGATGCTGGAATTGAGGGATGGGGTTACCTGGATGGAGTTTAGATGATTCTGTACAGAAGAAGACGTGGTAAGGAACAACAGGGAGGACCTGGTGAAGGACTGTCCCCTCCACTTAACTTTTGTGATTCTGAACAAGTTCTGAACCGCTTCTCTGCCTCTCCTATAAAAGTGGAATAAAAACAATACTATCTTATCGTTGTGATAGTGTGGAGTAAATGGGTATGACATATTCCCAAGACCCATCATAAGCACGACCTAAGCTTTAGCTGTTATTTCTGTTATTTAAAAGAAAATTAGTGAAGTTTAATAATAAAATTAATGAATTAAATATGTCCAAGAGGTACGCTGTTAAGAGCCCAGAAGAAATAAACTTTATTCCTATAAGGACATCTAGGAAAACTACATGCATGAAACTGGGGAGATCTTCAAAAAAATCGAATAGATGTGATGTCATTGAATTATTTGTATTTCTAGTATTTATTGTGTGCCAGCCACTGTTTGGGCTCTGGGAATGGCTCTTTCAGTTTTCATTCTAGTAAGAAGCAATGTCAATAAGCAAACACTCATGGAGGATTTCCTATAACTAGGTGGGTGGGGGAGGGGTGAAGACATTGTCACAGAGCAGTGAGCACACACATTGAGACTTGGAAGGGGGTTGGGCGCGTAGTGGAAGTGCAGAAGTGTGGACTGGTGCAATGAGGAGCTTCACTGACTGGTTACACTCTTACCTTGAAGACAAGGGATAACCACTGTAGGTTTCTAAAAGTACTATAACATGACTGTATCTGAGTTTTTGGAAGGGTACTCTGGGGGGAATACAAAGCCATAATAACAAATATGAATTGAGCACCCACTGTTAGCTGACCATGGATGGGTTTAAGTATTCTGCAACATTCTGAGGCCATGAAGATTGTTAGCATCTCCACTTATAGGTGAGGAAACGGAGACACATTTAGATTTATTTTCTCAAGATCACTCAGTTGATAATGTTGGAAAAACCCCAGAGCCCTCCCTTCTTAACAACTAGTCTATATCCTTTTCAGTTATGCCTAACTCCTACTTATAGTCTGTAAGGAGTTAAGATTAGCACACAACAGTCAGAAAACAGTTGCATACCCTATAATAAAGCACTGAATGTGCTGGGTGCATTTTACATAATTTCTTTCCTCAGCTGGTGTTGAGAGGAAAAAAATAAAATATTTCTTTATTCCATTTTTTTGTAGCATAAAGAACATAATAGTGACAACAAAAAAGTTACCCACATGTTAACTTTTTCTTTCTTTTTTTTTATTTTATAGCAGTTTATTTTTACATCATTTTGTACATTTTTTCCCGCATCTCAATTGTAATCCCTGCGGGATTCCCATCACCAAGTCAC